CTGTTTCATGTTTTTTAAATTACACTAATAATTCATACAAAAACAAATTGTGACACAGTACTTGTGCCTCTTAAAGGACAGGTGTGCTATTTAACTGCCACCACTGTTACAGTGGTAATTAAACATTTTCTCAATTAGTTATATTTTTAACTTACTTTCTAATAAAATTATGATGTCAGAATGATTGGCATGAGTATCATTTCAGAAATATGTCTTATTGACAGAATAACTTTGATAATGTATCAAATCACAATAAAATCATGTATATAAATTTTGACGTTTGCTTGTTACTTGCTGCTCTCTGCAATATTGCAGGTATGATGTGTTCTACAAAATAGATACTTCTGGGTCTGACAATATAGCGATTGACAGGATTGGATTTGATCTGCACATTTTGGATACAATGACATGCATATACCAAGTCAGTGAGCCTGGGCACTGGGCACTTGTTTTATTTCAACAAGCAGCCCAGATCCCCATAGATATTTTGGTGATACTGACACTCTGGTGATGGAATGTACCTGGTAAGACAGGAATGATCCCAACTGCACGTCTCCAACTGGAGTCTGAACCTTGGGGGCAGTCAGGTGTACCATGTAGCTCAATGGAGCATGTTCCTGGTCCTTCAGGACTTGCATGTCCATTTCTGTGACAACTGGGATTCTGAGAAACAGGTACATTTATAGAATTTCAAATAATCACTTTAGACTGAAAGAGTGAAATTCCTTTAATTTCTCCATATAGACTGTTATGTATGTGGTTTACCAGAAGTATGTACATTAATATTTATTTAATCACATATAAATGTTAAAAACACTTTATTATTTAAAATATATTTTAACAGGATAAACCTTTGATTGTAATGTTGGACTATGACTTACTTCTTTGTAGTATCAATTTGGCAAGTCACTGGCTTCCTCTTCCTGTTCTGGGTGGGTCTTGCTACAGTGATATGATTCATGGGGACTGGGGTAATGGTCCTTCCCTAGGTTTTGTGCCACTGCTGGGGCAAACTGGTGCAGCTCTGCAGCTGTGGCACATGAGTGTAATCATGCAGTTTCAGTCCTTGCAGGGACTTGACCAAACCCACGATGTGGGAACAGCGCCCTCCAAAACTGGGGAAAGAAATACACAAATATAGCAGATACCAATTCCACTTTCTCATGTGAATGTAGATGCAAGTATAATATGAAATAAGAATAATTGAGTGAATGGGATTTACTAAATTTAGTAAGTGAAAAAATGTTTAAAAGATATACCCCTGTTTAGTAGCCCAGACTGATACATTTACTAGAGTTCAACATAGCAATGACTGCCTTCATGAAATATGTGTACTGTATACGTAGTTGATAATTCCATCAAAATGAAAATCAAATATAACCAAAAATATATTGAAATTGTAATATTTTGGAGAATTGTATGAAAATATATGGCTATATATGTGCAGTGTGTAGCTGAAGACAAGATGCTGGTTTTCTTGATTATGATTTGAACTTCGTGTACCTTTTTACACATGTCCCAGATTTAGACATCACAGTACAGATGTCCGGGCTTGTTTTGGGGTGTTGTTTTTTTCTCTCTGCGTTTGTTTTGACGTGACAGGGGTGTTACCCTGGTGTCACAACCAGTCTGTACATTGTAACTTTGTGTGTATTTTGCATTCTAGTATTGATTTTTGTTTTATTTAACAAAGTAGATGTCATTTGACAGCGAAGTGGAGATCGAGGCTGACCCGGGGAAACGGACGTGATGTCATGGGCTTATAAGAAAATTAATTCCTGGGAGGGAACATAAGATATTGATGAATGTTGTCACTCTGGTTTAAAATAACGCATTTTAATGCACTTACCCAGCTTTGCAAGAACAGTAGGAATCGGCAAATTCTTGTGATCGTACATCTATCTCCAGCTGTAGTTTGTGCGCCTCTTCGCGCTTCGATAGCGATCTCCAACATTTCGCGTACACGAAAACGGCCTGATTATGACTGAAAACTTTAATGTCGTGCACATACCCTTCTAGAAAATAATTTAAACCCCTTGCTTGTGCCCTTTTTGATATTCTATCATGTTCTGGATGGAAATGTAAGGAGATATTGTCGGGTATTGAACTGAGACAGTCGTCTCCCGGATGACATTCAGCCATTTTGACAGCTCAGCATAGCAAAGCTTGGGGGACATAGCAACAGTAACCAATGTAGGCGTGGCTTCGTAGCGTCGGTCGGAACTATGCATTGCTGAGTGCGGCATTAAACAACAAACCAACCAAATTAACTTATATCGACAAAAGTTGAAAAAGACCAGATACTGAGAATCTTGCATATGGCGTTTTGATCCATCAACAACCGCTTCCGATTATAAGGCCTGTTGGGTTCAGTATTACCACAGTTATACTGTCAGTCACAATGTCCTTTTTCAGTTGAATAATGATCACTCAGACTGTGTGTTAAATCTTGGTTTATAAGGCGACATAATTCCAAATGTAAACTGATGTCCAAAAGAAACGATACCACGTGTTTGAAAGGACATGAAAGAAAAGCAAAACGATACAGAAATTTGGTATGTTTAATTTGGGAATTTTTTCAAAAGCATGTGTACAAAAATTCATTTTCATCAATTCATTACAATCATTAGGACAGGCCTGTAAAGACGTGAGGGGTCCAAAATGAAAATTTCATTCAAACTCACATGACGAGGCAAGTGTGGAAAATGTCACAACAGACGTTTCAAAGTCACGTTAGTACCAGGTATATCCACCGTAAGCGTCAGTACACGTCTACATGCTGATGGCATCAAACGCCGGATGCATTGCCAGTCATCAGGAAGGCATTGTTCCAATTCCCGGAGGTTGACTGGAGGCACAGGGCGATTTAAAGTTTTTTGATCGAGATGGTCCCATAAGTGTTCGATTGGGTTCATATCCGGTAAATATGCCGCCCATGGTAAAACCTAAAAGTTGGCGTTGGCGTGGAGATTTTGAGTCAGCCTTGCCGTATGTGGCCTGGCATTGTCGTGCTGGAAAATGATTCCACGAGGCTCTTGTTGGAACTGGTTTGTTAGGTTTCATCTCGGTAACGCTGTGCATTCAGGTTTCCTCGAATAATGAGCCTAATTTTGGCATCACCGCAAATTCCACACCAAACCTTCAAACATCCGTTTCCAAATGGCCGGACTTGATAAATGCAATTCTGCACCAAACGTTCACCAACTCTTCGGTACACAGGCTGCCGACCAACGTTCTAGAAGATGCAAAATCTGCTCTCCTCGGAAAACATGACCCGTACCTGGATGTGACGGTCTGCAATAGGCGTGGTCACCCGTGCCAAACATGGCATTTTGTTATTTCTTTTGCCTCCTTTTTGGTGCTGTGATTACAACGTGTCGACTCAGCAGTTTGTTACAGTGGGAAACTTGCAAGTATGTTTGCATACAAAAAGGAATGCTTAAAAAATGTTTGGTATCGCTTTCTTTGGACATAAGTTCTTATTTATTTGTGAATATTGTATAAGGAAAGATTATAAGTAGACAACATCTGTCATACCCGGTGACCTCTGCACTTAATGGAATAGCGAAGTGGATAAAGCATTCACTAGTCACGCCGAAGATACGGGTTCGATTCCCCACATGGGTACACTGTGTGAAGCCCAATTCTGGTGCCAATCCACCTTGATTTTGCTGAAATATTGATAAAAGCAGTGTAAAAACAAACTCACTGACTAACTCACTTACTGAAAAAATTATGAAGATTTGGGGATCTTAATCTTTCGTTTCTCTCCTGTCATATCAAACTAAGAGCGAATGAAACACTCGCCAAAAGAGGCATTTGTCAACTTTCGTCAAGGTGTATACATGAAAGCAGAGTAAGACTTAAATACTTAAATACTTACTTGGTTCAAAATTAACGATTTATACAACAAACGATACGCATTTCATATTCAATCACGCAATTCAGGTAAGTTTACAATTTGTAAGTTCAGCTTTGTTTTTACCTCAGTATGTTTTAAAATATACTGAGTCAAAAAGGAAACTTCACAAAATGTAATTTGAAAAATAATGAATAATCTTTCTCTGATGATACATCTATGTATCCGAAATGGGATCCCTATCTTTCGACTCTAGAAAAACGTTAGCAAAACCCACTCAAACCCATCCATTCATCGTGCAAATGACGTTAGTGCCAAATCAGGTTTTGCACGTGCAGTCGATCACGTGATCTTCGCCTCGAAGTTGTCTTCATATGCACATGTTTGCATTGGCCTCAAGAATTGAAAAAACACTTTTAAACCACAACGCTGGAATCAACGTCATGGACTGACCATCGAGGCCCCCTGACCTTAATCCAATAGAGCACGTTTGGGATGCACTTGGGAGAAGGCTTCGTGGTCTTAGGAACCAACCTCAGAATTTGCAGGAACTTGGCGCTGCCTTGCAAGAGCAATGGCGCAGAATTCCCAACCACGTGTTCACAAGCATCAGTCAGTCGATGTGGAGACGGTGTTTGGCAGTGGTGAATGTGCGGGGCGGCCATACACGATATTGAACTGAGAAATTTCGCATTTTTATTCTTGTGACTTGACATTCTGTATACCCATGTTTTGGAGCGGCGGTGTAGCCTAATGGAACTGATTATGGCAGTGTACATCACACAGATCTCAGCAATGAAATAATAACAATTTAACCATCTTACCATCTCTTGTTCTTTTATAGTGCCCTGAAGAAAGAATGTGAAGTTTCATTTTTGACTCAGTATATTAGCTTATGTGTAATAATACACTTTTCAATCTAGTATTAATGTGCAAAGCAAACGGCGGAAAAGTATTTAGTGAGGAACCCTGCATAGCAACGCAAAGTAATGTTAAAAGTAAAGGGGTGCCGAGTGCCGAGTGTCGAGTGCCGAGTGCCGAGCACTCTTTACATAGATGTCTTTGAGCGCCCTTTACACACATCTCGTTCCTCACAATTAACGGAAGAACACTTAGAAATCCCGTGGCCTTAAAGGAGTTATCATTGAGCTCCTTTAAGCACCATCAATTCCTTGGCTTCAATACGTCTCGACTTTTGTTCTTCCCGTTCCCTTGAACTTAGCGGGCGCGACACATGCAGCATATTCCTCGTACAAAATACACCGCTTACAGGGTCTTGTTTCAGATAATCCAAAGGGGTATTTCCTTTGCTGTCTCTTCTATTAACATCTGCGTGTTGTTCCAATAACAGCTTCATATTTTCTTTCGTTGCATCACCATTGCATAAACAGTGAAGCAGAGTTTGGCCTCTAACATAGCGATCTCCAATGTCCTTATTAAGACATACGTTAACATCCTCAATCTTTCTGGCCCTAATCAAGTGTTCAAGACACTGGTAGTTGCCGTTAGCACAAAGGTAATGGCTGCCGTTCCTCCCATCTTCTTGATTCACATTCACATCTGCACCATATTCCAACAGCAGCTGTAAAATTCTCAAACTGTCATTATGTGGAGGCACAATACAGAAGTACATGAATGGTGTTAAATCAAACCAATCGCCTTTCTTATTTACAGTTTCAGGGGAAGCTTTGTCCAAGATTTCCTTGAGCCCTTCCAAACAACCACTTTCACACATCAGGTGAAGAGCTGTCATGCCATCACTGTCTGGAATATTAACATCAGCATTGTGACTGATCAACAATTTAACAAGTTCACCTTTACCCTCATAGTCTTTACCTTTGCAGGCTTCGTGAATAACACGTACGTTATTGAACATACGCTCATTGATGTCAAATTGCATTGTTGAATTTAGTAATGTCCTTACCTCTTCCAGATTTTTTAAGTGGCAAAAATAGTGAAGCAGGAGGCACATATCCTGAGAATCATGTACCTTCTGCGTGAGATAGACCTTTTTGGCTTTCACCAACTCCTCTCTTTTACTGATATCAGAGCGTTCAATAATCTCATCTGCAAAGTCTGCCTTTCCTTCTCTGCAAAGGTTTTGTATCAGCGATGGTAATATATCCCACGAACTGATGTTCGCTCCAAGGTCAAGCAAAATAATTATCAACTCTTCAATAGGCGTGGAGTCACATGCATAGTACAAAGGTGTCCTCTGCCACATGTCTCTTGCATCAATGTCGTGAACTTTGTCTTTGATACATTTCACACCATCCACAAATCCCTCTTTACAAATATAATGTAACATGGTTTGACCATGGACTGTGTCATTTACTTCAGCACCTTCTTTGACCAATACCTCTAAAGCAGGTAGGTTTCTGGCATTGACTGCATGCATCGACATTGTCTTCAGTTGCTCATCTTTGATGTTGACAGCATGACCCTACAAAAACAAAACACGAAAGAAACTTTATCAGCGACCTGCATTACTAAAATATAGACGCATACTTAGATGTAATTGTCTTAAATGCTTAAGATGTCAGTACGTCTCTTCACTGTAGGTTTGGTTGGATATGTTAGAATATGTTTTACGTTTAATAGTAGCGTGTACCATGACTGCTGTGTTTAGTTAGTTATCAGGATCATACGAAATGGTGCGTAAACCACAATGATTGCATCACAGCGACACCATACTGGTTGTGTACGATGTAATGTAGTATCATAGATGTAACATTGGTGTAAATAAACTATACCTAGCTGCGAAAATATCCGCTAAATAGATGTTTGACCCATTTAACTAACATACACATACAGCAGTCCTCTAAATAAAAAATACGGATAAAAATATGCACGATACGGTACAAAATAGTTTAGATATTAATTCGTGTGTGGTGACCCACATTTTAAAGCTGGACTCTAGAATGGACATGAACACTTTGACTAACAATATCAAGAAGGGCAATCCCCCTGTAGTTATTCGGGTCATTCCTGTTTCCAGTCTTAAATAAGGGCACAATCAAACTTTATCGCGTAGAAATATATTCTCTAAAGCTTGTGATGTTTTATCCATGCATGCCGAGAACAATAGTATCTCATGTTTAAACGTTTAGATGATTTTGGAGATATTAATTGTACCTCAGCAGTGCGAGAGTTATTGTTCCACCATGGCTTGTCTTATGCTTGGTTGAACCAAGACGTAATAATGAATTAGGTAATAAAGGGGTCGGTGGGTTAGCCTAGTAGTTAAAGCGTTGACTCGTCACGGTTTTAACATACAATTATATAGAAGATCGAAAAGTGCAAATATCGCAATTGCCAAGTGTCCACATTGCCTAAATAAGTTAGAAAATGAATATCATGTATTACTAGAATGTCCATTGTATGACGATCTACAGAAAAATATCTACCATGTTATTACTACACCAACCCCAGTTATCACAAGTTTGTAACTCTTTTGAATTCAAAATCAGCTAATATATACTGAGTCAAAAAAGAAACTTCACATTCTTTCTTCAGGGCACTATAAAAGAACAAGAGATGGTAAGATGGTGAAATTGTTATTATTTCATTGCTGAGATCTGTGTGATGTACTCGATACACTGACAGTGCCATAATCAGTTCCATTAGGCTACACCGCCGTTCCAAAACATGGGTACACAGAATGTCAAGTCACAAGAATAAATATGCGAAATTTCTCAGTTCAATATCGTGTATGGCCGCCCCGCGCATTCACCACTGCCAAACACCGTCTCCCCATCGACTGCCTGATGCTTGTGAACACGTGGTTGGGGATTTTGTGCCATTGCTCTTGCAAGGCAGCGCCAAGTTCCTGCAAATCCTGAGGTTGGTTCCTAAGACCACAAAGCCTTCTCCCAAGTGCATCCCAAACGTGCTCTATTGGATTAAGGTCAGGGGACCTCGATGGCCAGTCCATGACGTTGTTTCCAGCGTTTTGAAGGAAATTTCGTGTCAACATCGCGGTATGCGTCCGAGCATTACCATGCTGGAACAGTAGACCTGGGCCATGAGCCGCCATGAAAGGAACGAGTTCAGGGGTGAGCACCTGGTCGCGGTAAGCAGCAGCTGTGAGGTTTCCACGGATGACCAGAAGTTGTTCCCACAGAAAGCACCCCACACCATGCAACTTCCGCCCCCGAATCTGTCGACTTCCTGTACACAACATTGGGCATACCGTTCACACGACGTCGTCTCCAGACTCTATGTCTGCCGTCCGCGAATCTGAGGGTAAACCTGGATTCATCGCTAAAGACAACTCGATTCCAGTCTCTCTGAGTCCATCGGAGGTGACGTTGGGCCCACAGCAGACGTTGACGTTGATGAAACGGCGTCAGTATTAGCCCGCGATATGGACGTCGAGAATGGAGATTGGCAGCCCGCAACTGATTTCGAATGGTCTGTGAGGACAGTGACCTCTAAACATCTCAGCCCTGGTTCGTGTAGCCGGCAGTAGGTCACGTAGGACGATTTGACGGTCTTCTGCTCGTGACGTCACACGTGGACGACCCAAACTTGGGCGATCAGAAGTGGTGCCAGTTTGTTGTAGACGACCTCGCCAGTCATACACATTACGACGGCTGCATCCCATTGCTCTTGCGACGTCAATAACTGATCTTCCCGCTTGCAATATGCCAACGGCACGTTCACGTTGCACATTTGACAATCGTGGCATTTCAAGTTCCGTTAGAACTGTGGTTTAAAAGTGTTTTTTTCAATTCTTAAGGCCAATGCAAACACGTGCATATGAAGAAAACTTCGATGCGAAGATCACGTGATCGACTGCACGTGCAAAACCTGATTTGGCACTAACGTCATTTGCACGATGAATGGATGGGTTTGAGTGGGTTTTGCTAACGTTTTTCTAGAGTTTTCCCACTTCGGATACATAGATGTATCATCAGAGAAAAATTATTCATTATTTTTCAAATTACATTTTGTGAAGTTTGTTTTTGACTCAGTATATTAGTACGTTTAGCTGTGTATTGTACAAAAGTAACTCCGTCACATACAGTTCATATGTGAATCAATGGCCAGGCGCTTCGGCCTCTCTACTATGATGAATGTTGATGTACTGTTGGCCTCATAGCCATTCATACAAATGAAATCATCTGTCTGTCTGTCTGTCTGAAATAGTTTAGATAGCAGATACGCACCACAGCAATGGTGAACGGTCTTAGAATCATTTAGAGACGTATTTGTTTTATTGTTTATTGACCCGTTTACACAAGAGTAGCAATGTTGTGGTGCATATATGAAACGAAACACAAGATTACTGATACTCCAGTAAATTCCATTCAGTACTCTAAATGTACTCTTAATGTTTTCGAGTACTCCTATATTGTTAACATGAGGAGTACATACTCCTGATGTTGAAAAAATTATCTGAAGCCCTGCATACAGTTTGCTCTATTAAGAGAAGAATGACGCCTACCTCAGAGTTGCCACCGTTATCCTTCAACTTGTTTAGACTTTTGCTGAAGTTTTCTTTGTCATGAAGCAAATCATGCTTCATAAAATCGTAGTTTTTGTTGACAAATTCCTCAGAGATTCTCTCCAGGAGCTGATGCTTTAACTCTTCCGTAAGATTGCTGAATAACGCTCTACCCGTAGCTGTACTTGCGTCCATATACTTTTTAATACATGCCATGCTGCATCGTGTTATTAAAAACCTCGGGTTCTCTATTCCAACAGTAATCCCAACACTTTCTTGATAAGAGGAGTGAGCAAAGTGAAAACATCCACCTTTCTGTAGAAGGAAGGGGATATCATTTGCAGCTGCTATCAGTGTTTGTCGTTTTTCATCGTCAGCTTCTTTGTCAGGTTGAAATGTTTCTTCACATATCATTATCTGTAAGACTTCACGAATGTGTGGGCTTTTTTTCAGTAACAATTTTGTCTCCTTATCAAGGAATAACAGAGGGCGATCAAAATATTCCCTGATATTCTCTTCAGCTTTATCTGCATACATTCTGCAACATTGTGGGAAACCATATGTAAACTTTGTAGAACATATGAAGTTGATGTCGTCTTCATTTTCGTGCATGCCCTTCCTGTCCAGATGCATTTTCAAAACCTTTCTCTTTTCACTTTCTGTAAGACAGTGTGTGGTTGTTAGATCTATCATAATCTTACTGTCATCAAATACGTTCGCATATCTGCCAAGTTCAGTTTTAAGGTGTCCGAGGATGGTTTTGCGAAGAATTATCAGAATGATATTTACTCCACTGTGGGAACCTTTGTGTTCAGGTAAAGCAAGAACATCAATAATAGTATCTTTCCAATCGATGTACTTCTTGTCTTCAAATGAAATGCTACCAAATGTATCATCAAACATCAGCACATCACAAGATTTTCTTTGTTTGTAATCCTCCGGACTTGTCACAAGGCAAACTGTCTTTCCTTTTTTATTCATTTCTCGCAGTATGAGGAATCCAAGAGTAGTTTTTCCTTCGCCGGGCTGGCCTGTGATTACAAATAGTTTCTGTCCCCTTTCAATAGCCTCGATAATGGAGTCAAATGCTTTCGTTTGTACCATGCCTTCAGTCCAGTCGTTAATTCGCTGAAGATCTGCATCTGTGTGTATACAACTTAACATCTTAGATTTCACTTTTAATGGAAAAATTCGGCATGCAATTGATTGATATGTACATGATCATGGAACTATTGCATGTGTCTGCTGTAACGTATGTACTTTGCAAATAAAGGCAAATCTAGTTCATAAAAAGGTGTGTACATACTATCAATGTGACTGAAACAACATGAGGAAACGTGGCGTGCCTGCTAAGATGGAGATAACCGGCATAAATGTAAGCACAAACAGATATGTTATTCTAAATTCAGGAAACATCCTACAGACTGTATTTTGAATACATTCTATTATCATGAAAAACTTGAAGTGGTATTGAGGTGAAATGTGACATGATGGCCATATATAGCTTCCATTATATACATAAAGAGAAGTTGCTGGAAAATCCTATAACAAGCCTTTGACATTAGCACCCACTAGACACTGGAGGGGTAGCTGGAGCGCTCGTGAGCCCAAATAGCATAACTTTACTTTGATAAAGAGGGTAACACAAAACGTGTTACCCGCTTTGAAAACACTGTCAGTGGAATCTGCCAATACCACTTCATTAAGTCAGACTGACCGATGGACTTTTCTTGAATGATTCTGTTGGTAAAGTCATCGATTACAGTTTTTGATTTAGAAACAGCATTGAAACGTTTCACATCGGTACATCAACTGCAACTTCCATCAGGGTTGCACGCAAGAATACATGGTGAACTATAATCACTTTGACTTGGTTCAGTAATGTTATTATTATCTATAATGTATTGAACCTCCTTCGTGAAGGCTTGAAGCTTGATGCGATTCGTCATAGGGATGTCATTTCACAATTAAATCATCACCTACATCTTCATCATGATACACGTATTTTGTCGGGCTAGGTAGATCCAGAAACAGTGAGCTAACTCTTGAATTAATTCTGAAACTTTGTCAGTATGACTGACCTTCTTATTCATGCCATATTGCCCATGGTACCTTGTATGTAATTGTTGACCAGGGATTGGCAACACATTATCGCCTAGACTAATATGTCTCTCTTGAGACTTCTTGTCATAATATACTTTCATTCTTTCTTGGGATTCGTTCAAAGTATCTGTTGCAACTTCAAAAGCTTTAAAATATCTAGTACGAAGAGATGAAACACTGTTCAAATTCATTCCAGACCTGTCAATAAGAAATTGTTCTTTTTAGTATTTTAAAGGTACGCAAACTGTATGTACAAATTTGGACTGACAGAACTGAATGCCTTCATCCCATTCCTTCTCAGTCTCACAATTAATGTTCTGACAGGATTCTGTCCAGAGCTCCCTGAGATTCATTGTCATGTGCACTAAACTTAAATTAAAGAATTATGACTGATGGGTTTGATTTGGTTTGCTGACCAGTTGATACACATCGTAGGTTATGCACAATTCAGCTACATCATGCCACAAATAAGGCTAAAACACATGGTTAATAGTTTTCCACAAGTTTTGTTCTGACCTAAATGACCCCGCTAAGGAGTTTGATGGGCAAACAGGTTTTTGATAGGAATGTGGAAGAACAATCGGATGAAAAAACATCCATTTATTATCAGTAGATACACCTGACAACCCCCATTTCCTTATCAAAATGCTATCCTTAAAATAAACAGGAACCCATTCAGTGTATTCTGAAAAGAGAGTCCTATTGGCAAGAACTTTCAGGTGAATTGAGCTCCCTGCCAAGAACTGGTTCAACAACGGCCAAAAACTGTCACAATTTTGAGTACACTCCCTTAGTAGTTATATAATGATGGTTCTATTACAGGGTACATTAGGGGCTTATTTTGGCTTAATTCTTCTCCCAGCGTCCAATTATAAATAGTTATTTTCGAGCAGGAGACATCATTCGATGTACTGACTAGCTCGACAGCCAAGACCCGTTAAACTTGCACTGTGACAGTCAGCTGTCCCGACAGTGTGACGGTAGAGCATCGCATTTTGCGTTCGAGCTGGGTTAGCAGCAGAAACCTTTGCAAGTGAGGACCCACACAGCGAGTATACTGGTGACCAAGGTAAACAAGATGGCGGACGAGTGTGGTAAGAGCATGCTGGGTCTGCACTCCGTTGCTTAGCCAAACAAGATGGCGGATGAGCTTGGTGGCGTGGAGACTCAGCACGGCATTGCTTAGCCAAACAAGATGGCAGACGAGCTTGGCAACGGTCGAGATAATCATAAGGTGTGATGCATGAGGCAAGATATAGAACTGGACTCTCGCGCCTGTATAGCACCACATATTTCTTAAATCCGTTGTTGTTTTTTTGTAGACCTGAATGTGCTGAGTGGAGTTTCTTGTATAAAGGTCTTAGAAACTCCAAACGCACCCAGGTCTAGACGGACTGTTGGTATCCATACGTGTAGTAGTATACACAATAGCGGAACGGGACCAGGTCTTTCCAAAGGCTTATTTTTAAATTAAGCCTTTGGGAAGTCCTAGTCCCCGTTCCGCTATTAGGTATACTACTACACGTATATGATTATATAAAGTTAGTATCCATGCGTGTAGTAGTATACACAATAGCGAACGGGACCAGGTCTTTCCAAAGGCTTAATTTTTCAAATTAAGCCTTTGGGAAGTCCCTAAGCTTGTTCTGCTATTGTGTATACTACTACACGTATGGATACCAACTGTCCTTTGGGAAGTCCCTAATCCTGTTCCGCTATTGTGTATACTACTGGTAGATGTGCATTCCAAATTTCACTAAAATCGGTATTATGGTTTAGGAAATATTGCCTTTTTATTGAGCATGGGTTCTGTCCTTCGAAAGTCAGTCCAAAAATATTCAACGTTAAACTGACGTTTGAAAACAACTTTTAACAAAATGTCCGCTGCGGTCACAACCACAACGAGGGAGAAAGAAATGAGATAGATGCGATGGGCAAGGCTTCCTCCCTCCGCTGCGTGCTCTCGACGAGAGCGTCCCGTTCTAGATAACCTTAGCTCAAAAGTTTCGAAAGTTGCAAGGAGGGCCAGATGGGATACGAACTCACAAATCGGACAGTTGCGCAGCTGCATGAAAGCAAGCTAGCCCCAGCCGGACTGAGCCACCATGTCTCCCGTTAAGTCCCAGTAATTGATTTCCCTAGTCCATGTTGAGCGAGTGAGTGGTGTGTCAGAGTTGGCAGGTCACATTTCAGAGACCACAGTTCATAGTTGTAATCGCAGTGTGTGTGTGTGTCTTGGCTCGGCTATTATTCCCCATGTGCAGCATGCTGTACAGCTGGCCGGCTGTTGGCTACACTATGTAATGATAGTTTTGGACCAAATTCCTCAAATTTTATGATCCATTGCTCCTGCAGGAGTAGAAAATATAGTTAGAATGATGGTGGGTGGTCTCTCTTTATTGACAGTGGTACAGCTTGGATCGATAAGTAACTCTCATTCTAAATGTACTGTCAGTGTACTCTGTGGTGTAATGGTAACAGAGCTGGGCTCATGATCATGAAGTCCAGTGTACGAATCACTCTACCAGCATAAATGTTTCCCAACTCAAACTGTATAGTCACCACAGCTCTTATGTCAAAATTAAGAGAGGCTTTGAAAGTGATGGCTGATATCACGAGAAAATACAACTCTGACATATTGTTTCATTAACTTTGTGTCTGTAGCCACATAGCATACCACAACCTAATAGTACACATACCCACACAAATAATCATGATAATTATCATGCAGTGGGCAGTCAAAAAGGGACTGTGTCGCAGCTGCGATCATCAACTGCTCTTGGACGAATGCTCTCGCAGGTCCGTCTTTCAAGTAGTACAAGTTCGGTTCACCGTCTTTGATGTCGACCAGGTCTACGTTGTACGTTTCCATGGACCATATCGGATCAGTGGTCCGTTTTCTGCTGTCTCCCTCGTATTCTCCTGGCTGCTACAAGTACCTAATGCTGACCCGGTCCGGTAATTCTTTCTCCGTTTTATCGTGACGTGTCGCTGCCGCCGCCGATTCGACAGATTTCATTTTGATGGCTTTAATGTGTCTCTTGCTCACGAGTCTGGTGACTTCGTCGTTGTTGGCAGCCACCACTTGAGGCAAGCGTAAAACCCATACTGTGTTTCGGTTTTTTGGATCAATTACATCCTGCGAGTACTTGTGTGAGAACATGTGTTCAGCTAAGGTGCGATTGAATCTCTCGACTATGGCTTGGCTGCGGTGAGCTCCTGCTATACCTCGTCTCACACGGACTTTGTGCTTGGCGAATCTTTGGTCGTCAATGGTTCGGCTTCCTTGTAGCAACTGGCGACGTTGACGATTGTCAGGGCGTACCTGTATGTTTTGCGTCTCACCCTGTCGAGAGGTAGAAACAGGAAGTTGGCTTGGTGGACGCGATTCGGCGTCGAAATGTCAAATTTTCTTCTCGGGATTTACCGAAGCGGCGGCAGGTTGACTTACCAGATGGCTTGTTTTATGAGCCAGGCTTTCGCTTTCTCTTCCGAGACTCAGACGTCTTTAGCGAGTTTAGGGAAAGCGTCAGCGCCTTTCCAGTACCCGCTTGGGCTGTAATAAATTTTCTCCCTGTATGTGTATGTACTGCATGTGTTTTACTTATTTAATACGTGCGTGTGTGTCCGTACGCGTAAGTGGTGACTCCATCGATGGTGATCCATCATTTTGTGTCCATGGGAGACAGCGATGTCTTGTTGATTCTCAATCCGTATATCCTGTGTCCGTCACTTCTCAGCATGTTCATTTGTTGTTTGAACGTTTTATTCTTGAACAGGGCTTCCTTGCTTTAGGTGTTTTTTCACCACATGTTTTTTCACGCCTTTCGCCTTTCGGATTTCGTGATCGTCTGCTTTTTTTGATGGAATACATCTTGGGTCTCAAGCCTAGGTACTTTGTGATCGGCGTCCCTGCGCATTCGTCTTTCATCTTGCCGAGCACTTTTTTTTGTTGATTTGGCTGTGCATAGGGTGACGTTTAGGGTAGTCGCTGGTGTCGT